CCCCCAGCCACTGCCAAGGGTGGAAGCTGCACGGCTGGGGGAGCCCTGGGCGAAGGCACTGCCGGGGGAGAGGGTGGAAAAAGCAGGGCAGGGCAGGGGGCGCTCCCTTGCAGCTGCCCTGTGCCAAATTGGAGGCTGATGGGGCTGCTGTGTGCTGCCACAGCACTCATCTGTTGCCTTTTGCCACTTCCAACTGCTTCTGTACCCTGACACGCGAGCAAGGACTGACCCAGCCCCATGGGGCAGTCAGTGGATTTCCATGAACAAGTAAATCTGTGGAGTTTGTTTTCCAGTACAGCTCCTGAGTGACAGCAGCAGTGACCGCAGGTACATGCAGCGCCCTTGCTGCACATCCTACAGGCTCAGCTGCTGCTGCACCCCCTGTACAGGCAGGCAGTCCCCCCCACTTGACTTCCAGGCCCCAAAGCCACCCCATGGGGATGCAGGTGCCCCTGAGGTGCACTCACCTTAGCCATGGGATTCAGCTTCCCCTCAGCCCCAGCTGCTGCTCTCACCCTGCCCCCTGAGCTGCTGTTGCAGGAGAAGGTAGAAACGAACAGGCTGTAACAGGCTCCAGGAGCCTATGAAAATGCAGACAAACACCAATGGTATGCTCAGGTTTTTATTAGGTGGAGGAAGGGCTATAAAGAAATGAAACTCCAAAACCATTCACCACAGTGGTGCAGAACAAGAAGGACCAAGAGTTGCCTCCAGTTGTTTTACAAAAAGAGGGGGAGAGACAGGTGACGTTTCCATCCAGTAGCTCCAGCTTTTCTGGGCAGGGTGGCTCAAGGCAGAGAGGTACAAGACACAGCTTATACTTCTATTTAAGAAACCACTACATCATTTTTTCCTCTAATGACGCAAAGGAGGTTCCAGGACACCCTGAGCCATCCATGCTCTCTTGCTAGAGACACAAGAAGAAACTCCTGTCTTTCTTTTTTATTCAAAAAAATGAAAAATAAAGAGGACCAAAACTGCCATGAGAATTCATCTTCCACAGCAGCAGGGAGGGGGGAAACAAAAGAAAGGGGAAAGTCCACAAAACATGGGTTTTTTTTTTTTCCTTTTTTTTTCTCTTTCAAAGGAAGTGCTGGGGGCTGGAGGCAGAGATCGAACCAACAGGACACATCTTGATTGTTTGTTTGGTTTTTGGGGAGTGGCAGGCCTGATTTGTCTGAATTTAGAACTGCATTAAATAAATGGGCTCCAGCTCCTGAAGTACCAAATGGTGCAGTTTGTCTTTGATAAAATTACAAAGCTTGTAAAAAAAAAAAAAAAAAAAAAGGAAGCCCTGGGGCCGGTTTTCTTAAACG